GCGAATGTCCGTGCATTGCGCAGAAACACCTATATAGTTGAAGTCTTTACAAATATATGATTTTTTAAATATAACAATAACGTCGTTGTTAAATTTGATATAATAATTTGTATATACTAAATTAATATAATATATTGATTATTTTGAATTATATGATAATATATACATTTGTTATACTTTCATAATCTCAATCGTTTGAATAACTTCTACCCGTGAGCTAGACATGAATCAAATTAAATATAATATATGATTTGATGTTATTTATAGTTGTTTTTATTGTTAATTAATTTTTTAAAATTTATTTGCTTAATGTTTTAATTTCTATCATTATAATTATTTAATAACATCAAACATTGTTTTTTTTTTTTTTTTTTTTTTTAAAATTTAAAGCTAACAATATATTCATTTATATCAAGTTATTTTTAACTATTGTTATTGTAAGTTATTTTAGGTTACTTATTTGGAAACTTTTAACAATTATAAAAAATATATTTAAGAAATATTTTAGTTAAATTGAGATTACAATTTAGTTTTGCTTTTATCACTATAATTTATCACTTTTAACTATTTACAAAATATTCTTTAGTTTTTTTAAATGGAACTGAAATTTATATTTAAGTTGACATTGTAATGCGCAGAAACACCTATATAGTTGAAGTCTTTACAAATATATATATATATATATATATATATATATATATATATATATATATATATATATATATATTTAAAATATAACACTAACGTTGTTAAATTTGATATAATAATTCGTATATTAATTTGATATAATATATTGATTATTTTGATATGATAATATATAAATCTATTATAACGTCATAATCCTAATCGTTTGAATGACTTCTAATCGCGAGTTACACATCAATAAAATTAAATATTATATATGGTTTAATATTATTTATAGTTGTTATTTTTAACTAATTTTTTAAAATTTATTTGCTTAATGTTTTAGTTTCTATCATTATAATTATTTAAAATATCAAACATTATTTTTTTAGTTTAAAGGTAACAATATAATCATTTATATAGAGTTATTTTTAACTATTGTTATTATAAGTTAAGCTACTTATTTGAAACTTTTTAACGATTATATAAATATATTTATGAAATATTTTAGTTAAACTGATATTACAATCTAGTTTTTGTATTTATCACTATAATTTATTACTTTTAACTATTTATAAAATATTATTTGGTTTTTTTAGTGGAACTGAAATTTATATTCGAGTTGACACTGTAATGTTATATTTAAATTAACAATTTAAGTAATTTGTCAAAACTATTCAAAATTTATAGCTTTAAACTGATAATGGTTTACATGCAACAACATTTTAAATATAATAAATTAAGTATAATATGTTAAAATTTAAAGACATAACTTTATAAATAAAAGTAAAGATATTATTTTAAAATTGAAATTTAGTTTATTTATGATTATACTTTAGGTTTGATATTTATTAAATCTTATCAACCAACTTACAATCATTATTAAAAAGACACTACAATTTATCACTTTTAACTATTTATAAAATAATCTTTGGGTTGTTTAAGTTAAATAAAATTTATATTTAAGTTGAGCATATAATGTTATATTTTAATTAATAATTTAAGTATTTTATACAAATTGTTCAAAAATTATACCTTTAAAATGATAATGGTTTATATCCAACAATATATTAAAACTAATAAATTAAGTATAATATGTTAAAAGTTAAAAAACATAATTTTATAAGTAAAATTAAAGATATTATTTTAATATTGAAATTTAGTTTATATATGAATACACTTTAGATTTGATATTTATTTAACATAATTACCAAATTATAATTATTATTATAAAGAAATTGAAAAGTTATGGGAGTTTCAAATGAATATGGTGAAAGGAAAAAAGAATGGAGGTTTCAAATGCATGAGATTCAAAAAAAAATGTTAACTTTATATATATATATATATATATATATATATATATATATATATATATATATATATATATATATATATATATATATATATATATAACGTGATGGTCAGAGGAAAATACACGAGTTAGCTTAAACTGGTGATTACCAAACAAATATAGTTTATTTTGTTGATTAATAGAAAATTACACCAAAGGTCCCCATAGTTTGGGATTATCTGCATGCTTATTGCATAACTTTATTATTCACTCAGAAGGTCCTTATAGTTTAGTTTTGCTTCGAATTTGGTCCCCCTAATTGATGTAAAAGGACTGATTTGTCCTTACTAATTTTACTTTACCCTTTTAATTTTATCATTTAATTTAAAAATTAATTAGATATCATAAAAGCATATTAGTTAAATAGATGGGTCCCTTGTGTTTAATGACCAAAAACCACCTTGGCCACAACCACCACCACTAACCTAAGAAAGAGTGAGCTCTATATATAGAGTCTCAGAAATTACATTTTATCCACTCTCTAAGAGTAGCCATGCAAGGCATACTGGACAATAGAGAGTATTATAGAAAGATAGATAAAAAATAAACTAAGTAAGAAGATTGCGGTTGACTAGATGACTTTGGGTGACGATGCTGATGGGAGCTTGACTGCGGATGCTTGTAGATTGCGGTAGGCTAAGTTAAGAGGGCTACTTCATGTTTCAACAATTTCCCCCTAAGTGAACTCTAACTTTTTCTTCACCTATCAAGTTTAAGAAATTTGATCATAATCCACTAAAACTTCATGATATTTTCCAACCACGTGATCCTTCTTAAAATCTCGAACCTGACTTTGGCAGTTGTGTGTTTTGATTTTTCAACTGCGGTTGGACAGATTTCAAGCTGCTTCCTTGTAAGACGATTTATGAAGATCATGGGAATGAAGTATTTGACCTGATCTATATTCCTTTTGAAGATGACTCCAAGTTTAGGGAAGGTTGTTGCACCTAAGGATCTTTCTTGATAACCCGCGGTAGGCATTGGTGCAGGATCTAGTTGTGGTAGATCGAACTGCATGGCAAGGATTGGGTGGATGTCCGCATCAATCTTTACGAAGTCGCAGATGGTTTCCTTCTGAAAAATTCTTGCCTTTTCAAATGCTATCTTCATTTTTGGATACTTTTCACACTTGTTTTGGAACACCTTTGCTATAAGAAAGACTTCTTCTAGGTTCATACAGGGGAAAATCAGCTTGGGTGCGGACATAGTCCTGCTTCCTTCTTGTAAGTGTGTATTGGATGAAGTTAGCTTTCATGAATTTGCGGGGCTTGAAGTTCTTGACTTCGGATGGTCGGTCATTAGACTAGATTTTCTCTATGGAAGAGGCATGTTTGGCATAGAATCGATTGAGTCTTTCGAATTCCATGGGTAGTCTTTTGTGATCTAGTATGCTCTGGTCAAACTGCTCAAATACTGTGAAGTATATAACATTTGGGGATATTGGAACATCCCAGTAGCCATCAGGAGGGGGTTCAGCATAAGTGAGATATGGTTTGTAGTCCTCGTCCAGCAGTCTGCGGTGAGGATTGATCCAAGAGTTTATCAAGGATTCATCTATGAAAGTGCCGAAACCGCATTCTATCCATATAAGCTCAGCAAATTTAGTTGCTTTCCAGTCAGCTCACTACTAGAAAAATAGCCTTTTACGACGCACAAATTACGACACTCATTAATATATGTTACGTAAACGAGAGTGACATTAAAAAAGTGTCATCTCTTTAGAAAATTTAAGGGTTTAGGTCACGCATTATTGCGTGCCTTTAAATTAGTGTCAAAAGAAAAAAAATTAAAAACACGGAGGGCGCTGTACCTTAAATGCGCGCCCTCTATATGTGTCGCTTTATAATTTTAATGAACGCGCGTTCCTTAGTTACAAGCGGGAAAAGAAAAGCCAAAAAATTAGAAAAGCCCGCTACCCTCCCTGCCCTAAGCATTTTCATGCATCTTTCATTCTCCTCACACTGTTGTGCAACTTCTCAATCAAAGATCGAAGGTTACGATTTCATCTCCATCTCTCGACTTCATCATCTCAATCAAGAAAAAGGGCTTCTGATTTCCATTCATCTACTTCATCGTTGCTGTAATTTCACCTTCTTCATCTCTCTACTGTTATTGAGAATACTCGCCAATAGTTTTCTTATTCCCCACTCGATGTTGAAATTTTCAGAAAAAGCCCTAATTAAGTATTATACTCTCAAGTCTCAATATTAGAATCCAAATATTGATTCTCGTTTGTTTCTTATTCCCTACAGATAAATCGAAAAAGGGGAATTAGAATGATGAAGGTAGCGGGAGTTTTGGTCCGGTGTTCATGGTTCATCTATCGAGAAAGGAAGATAGGAACGCAAGCAGCCATGGTGGCTCGATGATGGAAATCAATCGAGAAAGGGGAAGCACCTCTAGTGCGGGATCGATTTGACAAAAGGAGAAGGGAGAAGTAACGATGCTTCTCTTGTCTGCCACAGCTTAGGGGGGGGGGGAGGTGCTCCAGCGGTCTCCTTGGCTGTTCTTTCTTGTCGCCAGCAGATTACATGTAGGGAGGGGACTCAACTAGTCCGATGGAGTAGGGCAAGTAACGACTGGTAGATCAGGATGATCGATCTATTCATGAGGAGGAGGAGGAAATTATTGGTTCCCGATGAGCCTTCCTTGGCTTCTTAGACTCCGTCATCGGTAGAAATCGGAGGACCTTTGAGGTTTGGATAGATCGAAGGAAGAAGAATGAAGAAGTGGTGGTCTTTGGTGATTGAAGGTAAACGGATGGGGTTTTCTTGAACCTCACAAGTCGTATTCTTTCTTAGATTTAATGCTTTCCATGAATCTTTTTTGGTGATTCCAACACACACATAAATCAGCATTCTCTCAATTTTCTTTTAAAATCCAATTGTTTACTTGAACTTCCTTCTAATTAAAGCCATTGGTAGAAGCCTTTCATCAGCTCGAATCTTAGTATCTTTCCATCCATAGTCTGTAATACTAATACAAATGCGAACAAAACACTCCTTTCTGTTTTCCAATTTCCACAATGGTTTCTTCTCAATTAACTGCTTTAATTGAAAACAAGCCATTCAAATCCTCCAAGAACTATTTCCAATTCCCAAAAAACCCTCCCAATGAAACATCAGATACTCTTGAATTGGACTTTTCTGATACATTTAGTCCTCTCCCACTGCCAGCTAGCAATTATGAAATTCCAAGCGACGACCCTGTGGTCATTTACAACCGTTCACATTCTTTAGTGGGTCCCACGCCATGTGTAAGCCACTTGCTGAATCTAAGGAAGTTAACCATATGTGAAACGGATGAATCATTGGAGGATTTTAGTGATGTGATAGATAAAGAGATTGAAGAAGAAGATTCTGAAAATGGTTGTAAGGTGAAAACCATAGGGCTTGAAGATTTTGAAGTCATGAAAGTTGTGGGGCAAGGGGCTTTTGGTAAAGTGTATCAAGTGAGAAAGAGAGATAGTTTGGAAATATATGCAATGAAAGTTGTGAGAAAAGATAAGATTGTGGAGAAAAATCATGCTGAGTATATGAAAGCAGAGTGAGATATCTTGACAAAGATTGATCATCCCTTTATTGTCCAGCTTCGTTACTCTTTCCTGGTACTTTTTTTTCTAAATTCCAAAACTACCCTTTTTGTATCTGTCTATGCTCACTCTTTTAATCTTCAGACAAAATATCGAATATACCTCGTTTTGGACTTTGTGAATGGTGGACATCTTTTTTTCCAGCTATATCATCATGGACTGTTTCGATGAGTTTTATTTATTTATTTATTTCTTTGTTTTTGTTACTTTAGAAATAAAATAAACTGATTAAGAATTTATGATTATGATTGTTTCAGAGAGGATTTGGCACGTATTTGTGCTGCAGAGATTGTTTCAGCTGTTTCTCACCTTCATGCAAATGGGATAATGCATAGGGATCTTAAGCCTGAAAATATACTACTTGATGTGGATGGACATGTACTTTTTTTTTGTTTTCTCTCTCACAAACACACACAATTCTTTTATTAAACATGTGAGTTTATTTATTTAGGCATTTCTTACGGATTTTGGGCTAGCAAAAGAGTTTGATGAAAATGCAAGATCAAATTCTTTATGTGGAACAGTAGAATACATGTCACCTGAAATTATTCTTGGTAAAGGCCATGACAAGGCTTCTAATTGGTGGAGTGTTGGAATCTTTTTGTTTTGATCATGAATTGATAAACTAATAAAAGGATTCAAAGATGGCTGAGAATTTGGCAGAGGGCGATTTTCGTCAGGTCTGCATAAAACAAATTGAATCAGATTCTTTATCAATTATAATATAAAATCATTAAACTGAGTTTGAGCTTGTGTTTGTATATATATATATATATATATATATATATATATATATATATATATATATATATACACTTGCTCTTTTTGTAGAATCTACCAAGGTTCCTACCTGAGAATCTTGAGAATAATAAAATGTTGTACGAACGAGTTAGTGCGATTGCAGTAAAGAAAGGGTGCACTCCATCACAACTAGCATTGGCGTGGGTTCACCACCAGGGGAAAGATGTTGTGCCCATACCAGGAACCACTAAAATTGAAAACCTTCAGCAAAACATTGGAGCTTTATCTGTGAAACTAACACCACAAGACATGGCTGAACTTGAATCTCCACTGGGTAATTTCTTGTCCTTCCCAACTCCCAAGTCTTAGTTATGAACATGCTTATGGATGTTTGTTTGGACAAACATAACTTGGTCATTGATCCAATGTTCAAGGTCTTGAAACAACTGCAACATTTGATCCCCAAACGGACGAGTTTGTCCTTCACAGTCCTACTTTAACTTCAAGCAAAGCAAGTAACATGAAATGGATTGTTCTTATATAAAGATCCCCCCTTTTCTCTTTGTTTTTCCAGTTTTTGATATTTTTTCGTATTTTCTAATTCAACTTTGTTTCCACTCTCTTAATCTTTTCTTTCGTGGTGGCCTGGTGAATTGGGGAAAGTGTCAAGATCTCATCTACATCACCACTAATAATATTCAAAGGCTGACTATCCAATAATATTTTGGCCCTGGTGATAAGTTGCTTGTTCCATGTTTAGCTGTAGCAAGGGCAGGGAAATCAAAGGTAATCTGAAATTCGATTATATAATTTTTTAATGAGTCTCTATTTAATTGAAACTGATTTTAATTTTTACATTCTTTGGTTGATTTTTGGATTACCAGTTTATTATAGGGGATGGAACAAACATGTATGATTTCACATATGTTGAGAATGTTGCACATGCTCTTGTATGTGCTGAAAGAGCTCTAGCTTCAGATGGATCTGCCTCAAAGAGAGCTGCAGGAGAGGTAATTTAAGTAAATGTTTTCAATTTTACTTGAGACAATATAATATATGGAGTTTTTATTATTTTTTAAGTTTCCAGGCTTACTTTATAATGAATATGGAACCAATAAAATTTTTGGAGTTCATGTCACTTATTCTTGTTAGGCTTGGGTTTGAATGGTATATTCTTGATTTTTGGTTTGTTTTCAAGGTAAGATTAAAGCTCCACTTTGTCTTTATTTCTGATTTTATGTACTTTGCAGGCCAAGAATCAAGATTCCTGCATCTATTGCAATAATCTTTATTTATTTTTATTTTTTAATGTGTTTGGAATTGGATTAGTTATGATGCTTTGACCTAACTCTAACTTATATATTGTTTTGTTAAGCTCTAGATTCCAAAAATGAAAGCTGTCAGTGACACTAAAGACCTTAAAGAAGACCTTAATTATCAAGAAACGTAGGATGATATGACAATCAATGTATGTGTTATAATTCATATGGATAGCGATTTTACTTTTCATGTCATTGTTATTTATTTCTTTTTTTGTTTGCAATTTCTTGCAAAAACTTTGGATGTTGTTCAAGACATTGATTTGGTCATTTCTCTTGGAAATGCTTTTGCAAAGCAGTATGAGCTTTATACATATGATGATGAGCATTCTGCACTACTTCACAGGTATGAACTCATTATCATTATCATTACATTTTTTAATTAAATTAGCTTATTGAGAGTATTCTTCTCCTACAAATGTCTTGGTATACTTCTTCAGAAAGTTGATAACATGACTTATGTTCGTGATAAAATCGTCTGGATGTACAAACAAGCAAATAATCTAGATTTCAAGTATTCCAGCACCTTGATAATTATTACATTGCTATGTTTCACATTTAACCCTGTTTTCTAATATTGTTTTGGTTGAACATGTTATTCCTCAAATTTTAACAGATTCTTGAATTGTGACTCACCCCTGCAGCTTTCTGAATGCAGGCTTATTTTGGTGCTGGATTAAGTGGAGTTCTGGCTTGGTGTGTGCGAGTGGGAAGGAACCAACCCAATGCCCCCGGAGTTCTGGCACCTTCCATCTTTACTTCCTATGTATCCAGGTATGTCTCAAAGTGTGTATTCCAATATCAGGTATCATGATTTGTGTATTTATAAAATTTTGAAATAGGGTCTTGTTCAATGCTTTAGCTGTTTTTGCTCTAAGGGAGATCCACTTATCAAAAGTAAGTTAATTTTTCACCCTTTTATTTAATATTTTTGTGATTGAATGAAAGTCTTAATGAAAGTAATTGACAACCCTTTATTTGTAAATGATGTTGTGATTGTGGGAGAGGTGTTGTGTTTTTCTCTGTTGCTAGGTAACCTTCTCAACAACAACATTCTACTTAAGCAGGTGAGTAATCAAGATTAAGGGAGACTTGTAATCATGTTTGACATTCCTTTCCAGTAACAAACAAAGTTGTATGATTATTTGTTAGTTTTATAGGAATGTATAACCCATGTTAGCAATGTATTATTTTTGTTTAACATTTGAATGATTCTTTGTATGACATTATAATTTGTGCAATTTATTTTATTTTTTGAGTATGAAATTTTATTTTATATTATGCAATGGATTGTATTTTTTGTATATGGTGTTTTATTTCTATTATGAGAAATTAAATGCAAATTTAATTTAAAAATTAATAAATATATAAATTTATTTTTTTTAAACATTTAAATTTACGATACGAAAAAATGTGTGTCGTCTTCATTTATGATATGGCCTTTCTTGACATGGGCTTTCTTGATACGCATTGCGTGTCATTAACACGCGCGTCGTAAGGTTACGACACGCGAATGCGTGTCGTCTTCCTTTATGATAGGGCCTTCCTTGATACGCATTGCGTGTCGTAAACGCGCGTCGTAAATGCGCGTCGTCTCTCTTTATGACAGGGCCTTCCTTGACACGCATTTGCGCGTCGTCTGAGCCTTTTACGACGCGCAATGAGCGTCGTAAAAGGCTGTTTTTCTAGTAGTGGCTTTCTTTTATTTGGTGACAGGAGAGTCATTTGAGCTTGGATGACATGTGATCCGCTAGATTCTTGACGTGAGGGGGAGTCTCATGTCGTTCAGGAGAGGGAATGATTTTTGTTGTGGTAGGGGAGACCGATTGCTTGGACTCTTGTGAGGAGATGGTTGCGGTGATGGTTGCGTTGAAGGAATTTTAAGAGAAGCACTTTTGATTTGATGGTCTTCTTCATAGTGCTCTTATTCATGATGGTGTGCTTCACTTCCCCCTCTTGAAGAGTTCAGACCCAGAGACAGCTCAAGCCGTTATTTGAGACCATCGACCTTGGAACACACCTCCTTAAATTAAGCTTTAAGAACATCAGCCGGTTGCTGATTATCTGGGATGGTGGTGTTGAAGAGAAGCCGATGAATCTCCTTTATGAGTCGGAGAATTTCAGGTCCATGGAAATTTGAAGATAGGGATTGTTGGAGTCCGTTGATGGTTGCATGAAGAACTGAGATAGTGAACTCATACGCAGTGTGAGTCTCATCTATCATTTTCTGGGAAGGAGAGGATTGGTCTACAATGGCTGTTTGCAAGTTGTCTTTGATTGGGAATACCTCACAGTTGAGGCGCTCCGCAGCAGCCATGAATTCCTTGTGATCTGCTTGAAGATTTTTATCAAGAGATCGAATTCCCATTTCTACCTTGAGAGAGATCCTCTCAGTAGCTAAACGTTCCCTTGTCTCCAACTTTTCAATCCTTTCGATCAAGGATTGCGGTATATGATGATCTTCGGATTGCGGTGGAGTTGACTTGACTGCAGCAAGTATTTGGTCTACTTTGGATTGAAGACTTAGGAATTCTTTTCTTGAAATGGACATTTTCTTCTTTTTATTTTTCTCCTCAGGATTAGAGGTTGAGTGTTGAGAACCACTCGATTCCTTTTTTTCAACAAACATCATTAGGTCATCATAAGGACTGGGCTGATTAACCTCCTGTAGTTCAACATCATCAAAACTGAAAGTTTGAGCAGATCTTACTTCTATTTCAGTGCTAGCATCTTGAGAGTATTTGGCAGTTGGAGATGGAGGAGGCTTTGAAGGAGTTTGATCAGCAGTTGCTTCTTGAGCTTTGTGGATAGCATCATCCATGTTGTCCATCAGAGCGTGAACCTTAAAGAAGGTAGCTATGATATTGGCATTGTTGATTGCATCTACCCAATACTTTGCTACGATTTGGATTTCTTGTTGTTTCTACTGAAGCTTCTTTGTTTGTTGTGCCTTTCTTGCTTGGAATGCCCTACGGAATGCAACATATTTCTTGGATTCAACGTCATTTGATGGTTGATACTTGCTTCATGAATCATTCAGATCGATATCGTTAATTACTTGGTATCGCACCGAGGTGTCCCTCAGGTTCACAGATCCTTGCACATTAGTGTTCACCATGCCTAAACCACCTATTACAGATGTAAGCAGAGTAGGATTTCCTGAGCTTCCTCAATCTCCTTGACCTAGGGTCAAGTCTGGCCTCGGCTTAGTTCTGGGATAGACTTAAGAAGAGTCTTGTGGTGGAGAAGGTGTTTGAAGTGTTTGGGTAACATACAAAAATATGGAGTTCAACTCCTCAGGGGAAAAGAAATGTAGACGGGAAGCCCTGGAGACCTTAGGGCAGGAACCGGTTCCATCCCCTTTAGAGTGAGCTGGGGGGGGGGGGGGGGGGAGTCTCTACGTTATGGTGAAATTGACACACTTTATGTGTATGAGTGGTATTCTATAGTGGTATCGAATGGGTGTGCGACCACCCAAGGACTATCGGAGCCTTTTGAGAGGCTGTAGCATCAGTCCGGTCACGCATTTGGCTTGTGGGATTGGTTTTTCTTTTCTTAAGGATTATGATGGGTTTATCATCTTCAAAAAAATCACTACTAGAGGAAGAGGAAGACTGATGTTTTCTTGGTTCGACATTTGTTATCATTGGTGGAGTGAGTTTACTCTTTTTTGACGGATTGGCTTGTTTGGGAGCATCCTTTTTCCTAGGAGTGCCTTGTTTCTTGGTTTTGAGGGGGCCTTGATGAGGTGAGGCTAACTTCTTGCATCTTTGTGAAAAAGACACTTTTGATAGAGTGGTGGAAGATGGGATTGCGGTACTACCAAGGACAATGATTGCAGGATAGGGTTTGAAGAGGCGGAGTAGGAAGGTATGCGATAATACCTTCCGTAGCCTCAATATGATCTGAGACATCAGCAGTCTCAAGACCAAGTGTAGAGAGAATATGGGTTGGTAGTCTTTTAATGGGTCCAAAAGCAGACTAATCAGATGAGGGATTGTACCTTTTGAGATCCTTGGTGACATAAAGGTTGATGTCGTTGCCCATGCTAATTACTGCATCTGCATGGAGGTCTGAGATGCATAGAGACTAGAACCTTGCAAAAGTGAGTTTGGTAGGGTTCTATCTTGGGCTTTCCTTTGGAATGTACTGGAAGAAATCATCCTATAGTATCTGACCGTAGTTGACGTCATGGCCGGTGAAGATACTCCATACTAACTCTAGGAGCTTGAGTCCCATGTTATCCGTGCCCCCGGTTCTGCCGGATAGACTGCGGATCACAAAGTGCCAAACAAATTGCCAAACCGCAGGCAGTTGGTTTTTCTTGAATTCCCTAATGCCTTTGATTTTCTTTTGATATCCCATCTGATGAAGTGCATATAGGATGTCCGCCATGGATAGACTAAAATTGAAGGATGAGCAAGAAGGTTAATGGTAGTGAGAAACTTCTCTTTGGTTAGAATGACCAAGGAATCGTTGACTAGGTTAAGATGCACTTCGTGGGGATTCTCGAGTGGTCGATACACTAAAAATGCACACTTGAATAGGGTTGAAAGAGTAACAATGCCTGTGAACATATCAACGGGTCCAAACAGTGGGTTATTGGATAAAAACTTGATCATCAACTTTGTTGGAGCATTGTAGAAGGAATACTCTTCGAACACAGCTCTGAAGTTGCTTGAGGCCATCGTTGGTGTTGGATGTCTTGAAGTAGAGACTGAACCAGTAGGGTTTACTAATCCAGATGCCTTTGAGTGTTTCTTGGATACGCCTGATTTCACCATTGTATGTGCTTGAAGGAGCGTTGCAAGAAAAAAATAGTGTGAAAGAGAATGGTTTGAAGTTCATAAAGCATAAACGTTCATTGGTGAAGAAGAAGGAGGTTTTATAGTGGCTTATTGGAGCGGTAAACGATTTTACCCTAGGTGAATTTGGGTAAAACGTTTGGGTGTTTTTCTTGGATTAAGAGGGACAATCTCAGCCACAGATTAATAATAAAGATTAAATTTGTAATTTTTTTTTGAGATTTACCAAAAAGGGTTTGCATTTAATGAAATTTTAGGCTCAAACCACGTCTGGAGAACGTGTGGTCAGGGAGAGATTAACCAGTTGGGTAACGGGAAGTTGAAACGGATTAGAAATTTTAGGGTAATAGGAAGAGACAAATTTAAAAGGATTTGATTTTGGGAAATCTCGTTTTTTGTCATCATACCTAAAATAGGTCTGACACGATGTTTATTCAAAAAGAATGAGACAGTTACAGAAAGAATATTTTTTTTAATGTTTCTTTATTTAATGAAGGCTCATTAAATAGCACACCATGTTGTTTTTATATTTTAGTTATCTTATATATATATATATATATATATATATATATATATATATATATATATATATATATATATATATATTTAAATTTTGAAAATCAATTATGTTGACTGCAGATTTAAAAGTAACTGCCGATTAAACCTTCATTGCGGATGGATCATTTGCTGTCGGATGGATGACTGCGGTAGAAGAACTGAGAGGAGCACCTGAACAAAGATTAGTAATAACAAACAGTAAGGACCATTGAAGTATAAGTATGATATATGGTTGCGGTACATAGGATATATCAAAACCATCTATCATAGATAACTTCAACTATGACCGCAATAGAGACCAAGGATGGTCTGCGGTACCTATCAATTCAAAAAGAATTGAGGGTCCAGATTCATCATTCCTAACATTTTTAAGAAACTGTTGAGTTTTGTCGAGTCAAGTGCCTCTCAGGAATCTCTTCATCAGTATGGACAAAAATTAGTTCAATGTTACCTCTCAGGATGTGTTCTTTGATGAAGTGATATCGTAGTTCAATATGCTTGGTCTTGAAGTGCTGAATAGGATTGTGAGAAATCGCTATAGCA